ATATATAACATTTGAAAAACAATAAAAGAAATGCAAGAAATTTAAAGAAATAAGAAAATAAAACAAAAGAACGCGACTGTTGTATAAGGAGAATTAAGGATATTATACATATTATTGTACATTTCCATTCTCGAGTTTTCGTCCTTTTTGTGTTGCAAGTGCCCTAGAACTCTTACCAAAACTAAACAAGTATACGACGTCTTACTGTTTTTAGATGGGAGTCAGATTCCGAGTCCAACATCTTAACCACGTGACTACAACGCCCCGTCTTTGTCTTACAGATGCCTTTTTCTCTCTTCTCTCTTTCGTCACAGGGGTGACGTCAACGCCAATGACTTCCTGGGGTTCACCGCTCTGCACCACGCCACTCAGCGTGGTCACTTTGACGTGGTCAGCTACCTGGTCTACTGGGGTTGTAACGTCCATGCCTTAGACAACGACCTGCACTCCGCCCTGGACCTGGCAGCCATGTACAACAGGACAGACATTGTCAAGTACGAGCCCTAATGTTAGGACATATGAAGTGTCTATTGGTTATGTAGCCCTTCCCATATTCGAGACAGATGACACGTTGGTGGAAAGTTTAGTTTTTCGCTGATGTTGTGAGGCCACGGGGACAAAAGAAAGAAAAAAAGCGTTAGTGAAAAGTGCAAATTATGGTCTAGAGCATTAATTAGAGTTTTAGCGTTCGATTATACCTGTTAAAAATCTGAAACTGCACTATATTTACCCCGATCCTCTTAGTACCAAATGTGCCCTTTCCGCAGCAGTTGAGTTTGTGGTTTGTACGATTCAGCAGTTTATGAGACCCAAACATCACGTACGGACATATCTGTAAATGGCCCGAAGCCATACAGACTTGGTATTGTATTGTGGATGTGTTTGAACAATCCTTTCAGGATGAGTTGTGGCATACCTCAAACAAACAATCTCAAGAATTTCCAGTTAGAGATCGGATTATGGTTCTTAACCTCTGAATATTTTCTGTTTTTGCAAAAGAATGAAGGAGAGAAGATTAAATAGGCTTTCTAGGTACTTGCGGAAATTTAGTGTCTAATGACAAAGACTTGTGTCAGTTAAACCAGTTCGTCACTTATGAGTCGCAGTTTCACTAATAACAATGCGATAGAATTGTGCAACGCACTGATTCTTAAGTGTAGCAACTTAGCTTAGAAATAATAAGCGCACGTGGAGAGATAGCAGTAAGAAATAGAAAGAAATTCCTGTCTTGGATACAAGAAAGATGATTGCTTATATGGGGCAAATGCTCATTTATTTATCTGCAGAAGTGTCGATGTTTAGGCACTATGTTTTAACCTTTCTTTTTAGATCTTCGAAAGATTGCTGGTAGCTGGGGCCTTCAAACTGCAGAATAAGTCATTTTGAGTTTTTGGGAAAAGGTTGAGGAAGAACACGGTGTATGAATGAATGTGGGGACGTATGGGGGGAGAGGGGGGGGGCACGGAGTTGATAGAAATAGATTCATCTGTGGGAGGAAGAGTAACATTCATTTTAGATATGTCTTGGAAGCTGGTAGTGACCTTAAATTAAGACTGTTGACCATAAAATTATTTCGCTCACATCTTATCATATATAGCTCACACAATAATGCTTTTTACTTCTTTTACAGGTTCTTAGATTCTGTGATCGCGCAGCGCCAAGCCAAAAATCCAAAACAGTTTGCCAAGCAAAAGGAAGAGGCCATGCGCGTGGCTGAGGCAAACGTGAAGAAGTATGAAAAACTTCAAGATGCTGCTGCGAAACGATCTGAGAAAGAACACAGAAAGATGGAGCAGCAGGTCCAGCAGCAGTTACAAGAGAACGGCGTGGACCAGAAGCAGAAAAAATCGTTTATTAAAACTTTGACTCTTCGCATCAAGGGCCAGAACAGCCTTCAGAAGAGAACCAAAGGGCACAGTAATAACTATTCCGAGATGGCCGGGCTGACGTATGGCGGTAGGTCTGGAATTAGCAAGAAAATCCAAATGAGGCGACTGGAAAGTTTGACCCCAGATTCGTCAGCATCCGACATTTCTACGTTTTCCGGTAACCGCCAAAAGTCACTGAGGTCTCAGAGCATTCAGATGGGCATAAGTGGGTCAGCAGCAGATGTCGAGTACAGGACAGCGAGCAGGGGCGAGAGCTTCGATGACCTCGGAGTTTCTAGGAGACCAGTGCTCCCTCAAGGCTTCGGGCATTCAAATCTTTACAAGTAAGATATCTTAGTAAGCTGCTTTCATGTGCTAAGTTTGCTGTGTAAACCTATAAAGCCATCCATTTAAAACAAAATATTTTCCTCTCCTAATTTAGCAGAATATCTGCATTGATTCTCCTTAAGTGGCCACCAGGTAAAACCAAGTACAGAGGTATTCTGTTGTGAGAAAATGACTCTTTGAATTAAAGCGTTTTTGCCAGAGAGAGAGAGAGAGAGAGAGAGA